GCTCTCGCTCTCGCTCTCGCTCTCGCTCTCGCTCTCGCTCTCGCTCTGTGTGTGTGTGTGTTACAGATCTATACATATGCAGGTAGAAGCCAAAGATCAACATCAGTTTACCCATACCTTCCACTCTTCCTTTCCACATTTATCTTTTAAGAAAGGGCTTCACTCAACCCAGAGCTCACTGGTTGGCTAGAATGGCTGGCCAGTGAGCTCCTGAGAGTCCACCTGTCTCATCCTGCTCTAACCTGGCCTTTCTCTTCAGTGGTAGGGAACAGACATGCATAACCACCCCCAATTTTATGTTACTGTCAGGGCCCAAGCTCAGGTCTTCATGATTGCAGAGCAGGGCCTTTACTGTTTACTAACTGAGCCATCTCCCTAGCCCCAAACATTCAGTATTTTTATCTGTTGTCCAGAATTTTAGTTGCTGGTCTAATTTTTCATTTTTCTTTTATCTTTTTTCTTTTTTTTTTAAATTAAGGATTAGTGATAAGTAATTTTATCCTAATGCCTATTTATTTATTTATTTATTTATTTATTTTTACAAATTCAATTCTGGAGGTAAAAAATACAGGCATTTTTGATGCGGACATCCAAACATACCACATTGACTAGCAAAGGATAACAGATCAGTAACCATGCTTTTGCCAAATTATCATCCCAGTAATTCCTGTCACTACTGGAGTGTGTGTAAAAGTTGGACCACAAGAGTTAAAGATTGAAGAGAAGAGATATTCTCTACACTCTCTATTTTGGATGGAGTTACCGGTCTACAATTTTAAACACTAACTTTTATAACCAGAGCATCCTTCTGTGTACAGACTAACACTTCTATCCACTCTCAATTTGGACTGAGAAAATAGAACTTCCTTTCTTCTTTGTTCCTTTCTGGTGTTGAAAATTGGAAACACCAGTTGAGGTTTAACTGATAGTTCCTGCTGTTGTTGCTCTTCCTGATCTTTCTAAATGGGGGCAGGGGAACCAAACAAGTACAAGACACACTAGAATATTTGTTCCTGAGACTTCTCAATCACTTGTAATGATTGAAGCTAATATAAATATTAAGAATTATTCATGGCTATGAACCAAAAATAAATCTTAAGATCCCTATAAACGACTAGCCTCTTTGGCTATCATGTAGTCACTTTCCAAATTTATTCTTTTAGCATTTGAGGTTCCGGGGTAGGGAGAAGAATTGTGAGAGATCAGTATGGTGATTTGAATAAAACTGGCTCATGAGAAGTGGCACTATTAGGAGGTGTGGCTTTATTGGAGGAAGTGTGGCTCTGTTGAAGGAGGTGTATCACTGAGGGTGGGCTTTGAGGGTTCAGAAGCTCAAAGCAAAACCTAGTGGCTTACAGTCTTCCCTTCATGCTGCCTGCCAATCAGGATGTAGAACTCTCAGCTTCTTCTCCAGCACCATCTCTGTCGCTATATCACTAGGCCTTCTGCCATGGTGATAGTGGACTAAACCTCTGAAACTGTAAGCCGGAGCCAATTAAATGTTGTCCTTTATAAGAGTTGCCATGATCGTGGAATCTCTTCACATCAATGGATACCTTAACTAAAACACTAGGGTTCCATATTTCTGAGAGACTCTCATAGCTACAGATCAACTAGGGTAAACTGTAGGCATATTGGGTCAGAAGGATATCCTGACAAAACAACCATATGATAGAACCAAGCAGTCAAGGGAAAGTATTAAATTATTTTTCAAAGCTTTTTCTTCAGTGTGACACACTTATACTCCTAGCTACTGGGTGACTGTTCAGGATTACCTGGGCTATAAAACAAAATCCTTATCAAACAAACAAAGGGTAAAAATGAATTTTTCCATAACTCCATGAAAGTGTAATGTAAATACAAGCAAGTCTCGTGATCTTTGTCTTTAATCACAGGACACTCGGAGAGCTAAAACAGGAGGATTATCAGGAACTGGTAGCCAATCTGAGCTACATAATATGTTCCCAACCAGCCTGCTGGTAATATCCTGTTTCAAATGTGCCCCTGAAAAAAAAAAGTGTAATTTAAAGGAAGATTAAAATAGTATGATTAGAAATAATCTCTTCATTAAAGTTTAATTTAGAAAAAAAACCAGCATTATGACATTATGAAACTATCCCAGCCTTAAAGTATTTACAGACAATAACAATAGCCCCCTAAGAAATTTGTAGGGGTGCTGTTTATTGCTCTGCCACCTCTTTGTTATTCTGGAAGACCCAACACTAAATGAACTGCTGTTTTGGCTATTTCATTCTCACTTCAATTATTAGCTAATTTTATATGATTGGTTTTGTGTTGTTTGACCTTTTATTTACTTTTTTGAGGATGGGTCTCAGGCTTGGAAACTATTGGGGTATTGCTACCATGTATCAGTACAGATATTGTATCCAAACAACAGATCATGAGGTTTAGTTGTTTCTTCAGTGGACAGGCCCACAGCAAACATGAAGACCCTGTTCTTGTTCCTCTCCTGTTGCCATGATAAACACCATGATTGAAAGTAATTAAGCAGAGGAAAGCACTTACTTCAGCTTACACATCAAAGGCACAGTCCAAACTTGAGGGAAGTCAGAGCAGGAACTCAAGGGAGAAAATGGGAGACAGGAGCCATGGAAGAATGCTGTTCATGAGCTAATACAGCTCAGGGCCAGCGGCCTAAGAATGGTACCACCTACCCTAGGCTGGGCCCTCCTGCATCAGTCAAGAGTCAAAACAATCCCCCTACAGACAGACATGCCCACAGACTAGCCTGGTATAGGCAAGTCCTTAATTAAGCCTCCTCTCAGATGACTCTAGGTTATGTCAAGTATATAATTTTATATCTAGATGATTTAGGCTAACCAGAATAGATTCCAAGAACAGTGTGAAGCAGTCGGAAACACGATAACCTCTCTACTTCCAAACAGGAGAAACTATGATACCAAATGGCCATGACCCAAATGACCACTTCTGCTGAATCTCTAAGCCAAAATAAATCTTTCTGACCCTTAAAGCTATTTTATCAGGTCCTTAGGTGCAGTGAGGAAAAGCTGCCTTATGCAGCCTAGTGCAGTCCCTCTGCACAATAGCATTCCTTTGTCACTGAAAATTTTTAAAGAAAAACCTAAACACCACCTACAGAAAAACAAAAACTATCAAATGCCAGTGAAGGGTGGCAGAACAGATCAAAACCTCCATGTTGAAGAAGAGATGTTTGCTTTAGGAAGAACCTTACTTGGACTGGAGAGTTGCTTCAGCAGGCAGCCTCTTAGAAGGGAAAGGATGTTGATGTAGGGTTTCTTATTTAGCCACATTCTTCTTCCTTCTGTCTGATATATTTCCAGAGGTCTTAATACCCAAGCCCTTCAACATGCCCAAAAGAAAGGACCCTCTTGGAAGGTTTGCTCCTCAGCCCAGCTCCCAGAATAAATGAGATGAGGTGACTCTT